ATGACAAACAAGTTTGTGCCAAATGTGTGGCCACAACCCGTCAACTCTAAACCCGAACCCTTAAATCATAATTTGCTTTTATAATGCATTCATAAAATACATTAAATCAAAAGTGCATACATTGCACATATTTATTTATAAATTATAAATTATAATACAAATTATAAAAGCTAGATTCGCTATAAACGAGATCATAATGAGCCAGTTCGATGCCTCAGCTCCACTCAACCCGTATTTAACAACCTCGGTGTTAATGCTTAGCCTATAAACAGGTTTCACTGCATTGCTGTTAATAAGGGGTCAATAAAAGTGATGTATTTATGAATGTTTTCAACCAAACGATCGACACATTTGTGGGAAACTTGTATTCATTAGTGATTTGTTTGACAATTGGTTTACAAAATGATTGAAGACTTATATTTGAATTCATGGCAACAAATGAAGACATCTCTCAATGAATCCACGGATCACTTCTCATTGGATGCGTGTCTTCGACAACAGGCCATCCAATCGTTCAATCAATCGATGGCTCATATCCTGAACCAAAGTCTGGACCCATCGGTCGACCTCTTAATGGCCGACACATGTCTTCAATACATATCTGAACTCTTGAGGGCCAAAAACAAGACAATTAATGGCATAACCAATGAAAACGTATTGCAATTCTTCAGCCGATGTCTCTCTGAAATGGTTTCAGAGAATGGTTTGAATCGATGTGAATGTCTTGAGAGGAGGTCTCTATTGATGGCATCGATTGTGAAGAAGGCGGCCATCGATAGGCACACCATTGCGTTGATTGACATTACAATCAAACAATTGTCTCAATTATCACAAAATGCTAACCAATTGAAAGCTAAGGACTTTGAAAATATATATTATGTTTTGAAGGCTTTCGACAATATATTGAAGAATTGGACGCAAATGGATGTGAGAGATGTGATGACACCGACCAGTGATGACCATTGGATTCTCCATATCCAGAGTGATTGTCATCTCGAAGACTGTATTCGTAGACTCACTAACAGTTACCGACGCTTTCAGAGCGCTCTCAAGCCGTTGTGTCAGCCATTTGTGGCTCTTTATCACCGATTAATTGCTATTCAAATGACTTTTGAGACATTGAAGCGAACGATCGCTCTGTCATTCATTTCATCCATTACTCCAAACTAATGATTCATTTTAAAGTTTTGTTTCAATTATCACTTCAAACATACTGTATATCATATTAAGTGAAATTATATTAATCTAAATGTGTTTCTCAGTGTATAATTAGTACAACTATAAGATTATTATAATTTTACTGTTATAATAACAAAATATATTCACATTAAAAGTACAATTTTATTATTATAGTTGTGTTGTTTGAGCACAAAATCTCACACAAACTTATTTAAGACAACAATTCTTTAATTAATAAATAGATTGAGAAATGTATTGACAAACTACTGGTATATACAGTACAGTAAGTTTTGGCTTACAGTAAGTGAATTCCCAAAATAATTCGTGTTTACAAATGCTATCGTGTTTTACCTCTTTTAGAGTTGTGATACCAATTCAATATACATTACAGTACGAAACAATTGTTTCACATATCTTCATTTATCATATTACTCTCTCTCTCTCTCTCTCTCTCTCTCTCTCTCTCTCTTGAAAATATTGGTGATATACTAGTATTTAACTATATTTAATTAAGTGTTGCAATAAAATTAAGTTATAATTACAAATGAATGTATTAATAAAAATTCTTTAATTAAAAGCGAAGGATAACAACATCTTTAAGAATTTAAAACAAATTCTTCACAAAATTAATTATCGATTCAATAAATTCTTTGTTTTCCTAAATGCAATGCAAATGATTTAGTGATCATATATTTACAGAATTCCTGAGACTGAGAGACAGTTTATATTTTAAATAACGATTACAAAGAATATTATGAATGCATTCACTCAATACATACTTACAATACAATATACTGTATACAAAGATAAACTCATAAATCATATGAATCTCTCAATAAAAGGCAAAAAACATTAATCTTAATTTGTTTGCGTTAAAAGACATCTAAATCTTATTTTTGCTATTAATTGTAATGCTTTTATTCATGTATTTACCAAATAGTTGTAAAAATTGTTTTTTGTGAAAACAAATAAAATATTTACGAATCGAGTGAACAAACGGTTAATTCGTTTTCAATTCACTATCAATTATCAACTTATTTGAGATTCAGCTGAATATACAGTAACCGTTGCTCTCCTTTATATCCTTTCCTCCAATTTCTTTGCGCTAAATATAACTTTAATATTGATTAATGAAAAAAAAGTTAAAACTTTTGGTTTAAGCAAATAAACAGAGACTAAAAAATATATATAGTTTTAATATCGTTGTGATCGTAAAGCTAACCTATAATACCATTTATGCCTTCAGAGAATTTCAAAGTATTTCGTCGATAAAATTCTGGATCAATAAAATCAACTGAAATACTGTTCATATCATATAAATGTGAACGCATTGTAAAAAATATTCAAAAAAGCAATTTATAGATAAAACCATTTCCTTCCTCTCTTCACATTTCATCTGAAAACACAAACTTTAAGACATTTGCATCGTTTCCAAACACTGTCTCGTTTTGTGGTTTGTATTATTTCTTCTAATCAACGCATATAATCAACAGAATATGTAAAGTATTATATATTATGTAAGGTTTATATTGAATTAAATAATATCCATTCAGACACTTATTGTATTGCATGCATATTCTGGAGGTTGTAATTCAATTGTTGATTTTACATTTTTCCTGTATTTTCTCTTATGTTACGAATATTGTATTGAAAATTGAGTTAAAGACCACTTTTAGTGTTAAATATAATATAAATTTAAAATAACTGATAATATTTTATATTTCCGGAATTTTGTTTTGTGTAAAATTTTAATCATCATAAATTCTCTATAATTCTTACATTCTTACAATTGTATGTCATGAATAAGGATGTTAAGATATAGGATTATAACTTATTTTGTATATACAGTCAACTATCGATGCTGTCAACAGAATGGTTCCTGGGATTTGGTTAATAACATCGAGATAATTTTAACATCAGGTCTATGTGGTGGGGATTTGGGATTTGGTTGATAACATAGAGTAGTTGACAGGATAGATAGTTGACAGGATAGGTATTTGACTGTACAATGTATTCCTTTTTTAACATTTATTTTGAGCACTTTTATTAATCGGGTTATAAATGATTGTCATAACGAAGGCGATACATAACAATTAGTTTAACATGCTAATTTTTAGAAATACTAGACATTTTAGAACATCTTACTCGTTAGTGAAAAAGTTCTCCAAAAATTATGTGAATGTAATCACTAAAAGTGCGTTCGTTTTCTCTGAATTATTGCTTTCGTATTCTTCATTAAAAGTGCGAACTAAGACACAGTTAAGCAAATGTCCATATGATGTGATCCTTTGCACATAATCACTTAATTTATTTTCACAGTGTAATACATACAGTATAAATTTTATAAATTCTTTATTTAGTATTCTATAATAAAGTATGAATTACTATAATATTGTATGTTTAATGAATGGTCAAACCAAATGTAAAATGAAAACTTGATGTAAATGTGATTAAAACAATGATTAGACCAATTCTTAACATAACATTACATTATTTAAAACTTTGGTTAGAAATCATTAATTTTAATTCTCGACTTAATGTGAGTCGAAAACACTTTACTGACGAGTCATGTAATCCTTATCTAATGTTTTTATAAACAAATTTCCGATTCTATGGTTGGAAACCCTTTTAAATTATAATAATTGTTGTAATGATATATTCATATAAAATACAACGAATCTATTAAAATATTAATAATATTACGTTATGGTAAACATTCAAATGAACAATGGTTTTGGCATTTAAAGAATAAACAAATTATTTATTAGAATTTGTTTGATATTCATATGTTTATGACTTATATTCATATTTTATAGCAATTGTTATGAAACTTGTTTACAACACATAACTTATGACATAACAAACCATAATTGAAAAACTTCATAAAATGTAAGTTTTGTAAATTGAAAATTGAGGTGAATATTATGTTAATTTCTCATTTCAATGCATTACTTGACTGTATATTTATATTTCAAATGATTTCATTGAAAATTTCAATTTGAAATCACTTAACAATTCAATAAAATATATTTCAGACATCATTTCAAATTCGCACTCATTTTCTAAAATCATTGAATTGTAAAGAAAAGAGCAATAAAACTGCATTATTTATATATACTGCACATAATTCTCTCTCTCTCTCTCTCTCTCTCTCTCTCTCTCTCTCTCTCTCTATGATTTCTAAAATATCTATTTATATAAAATATAATTTAATTAAAGATTTCAATAAAGTTAGCATTAAAAATAAAAGAGTTTAGAATTTAGAAAACAATTTTATTAAATAATTTTTTACAAATAAAACTATGTTTTAATTAATTACTTATTGAATGACTTTCTAATGAAACGGATTTTACTTTTGTTACAAATCTGTAAATGTTTTAATTGAATGAAATCATCATTAAGTTTGTGGTCATCGAAGACAAGACAATAGGACTTCCAAACGAAACGCCAATTTATGCGACGATTACTAACTTTAGACTTATTTCTTCTGAAATGATATGAAAAGTATCTTTCGATACATTTCTTCAAATGTTTGACATTTGATTCGTTGCCGACAATCACACGAAGACAGGACTTGTCGTCGCGCTCCACAAACACAACCATAGATCGGCCCAATTGGTGGTCAATCGCGTCCGACAACTCTTCGCGGCTCACGTCTGTCGGCAAATGAGTGAGCAATGGATCACTCGATATCATTGTCTGTATATTAGTGTCAATCAAAGCAAACAATTCATTGTGTGATAAATGAGACGCGATAAAATTGGCAACGAATCAAACTGTTTGGCGAAGTCTTGTCTAAAGCACTCATTACTGTCTTATAACTACTTGTGGTCGAGAGTGGCGTCGGTTTGGTCTTTGAATCCGAGAACTTTGAAGTCTTCTTTGGCCATCAATTGGCGATCCATTCGACACTTGAGATAGTCTTTAGCCAACAGTCGACAGGAAGTGTTGTCGGAGTTGTTGTCGTTGAGGCACTTGAGGTACGAAATCATAGATGTCTTGCACTCCGACTCGTGGTCTAATGGAAAGGATCCCCTGTCGGGAGGCTTTGGCATAAAGATCTTCTGTCCGCCGATGTTTGCCATCAATTGATCCGTCAATTCAACACTCAATACAACACACAATCAAATGAATGACTCTTTAAATCACAACTCGTTTTGCGGACCAAAACATAGCGTCAATAATACGTGACGTTATTTATGAACACATTTTGTGCCCAAAAGTATTGCACAAAATTTTGGCGCAATTTTGAGCTTTCGTTTGGTTTTGGGATTCAATGAGTGATTGATTTGATTGTCATTTGAAGTGATATTTAAGACACCATTTGTTTTGTCACTTGAATTGAAGCGCAAAAATGTTGTCCGAAATTGAAGACAATATACGCATAGAATTGCTTAAAATGAAGAAACAGATGGAGTGTCCGATTTGGTTAGTCATCGGATCCATTGCTTTCACGTCTAACTAATCCTCTCTTTTCTCTTTGCATACAGTCTTCAGCTGATGACGGATCCAATGATCACACGATGTGTCCATCGGTTCTGCAGTGTTTGCATTCATAAGTCGATTCAGAGCTCGACTCACGAGTACTGTCGGTGTCCTCTCTGTAACGAGAAGATCACTAAACGCTCGTTAAGACCGCAAACAGATATCTCTCATCTGATCACTGCTTTCAAAGAAGCGGTCGATTGTTTCGAAGAAGACAACGACAAGTCGATCATCAATAACGCCGACGATGTGGTCATCTTTGATGTCTCCACCGATAAAAGCAAGTCATGTGTTGACAGCAACGACTCGACTGAGGCATCGACTGATAGTAAAGCCATTGAATCGGAGGCCACTGTAATGACCGATGAAACGATTCCGTTGGACGACTGGCCGACGTGTGAGACTATAACCACGACTGACGATAACCACGAGTCGGCCACTGATGTGATCGAAACGAGCGCTGAGTCGACAAACGTCTCGTTTTATGATAAATGCGTGCAAAAGAAGGCTTTAATGGAGAAGAATGTGAATCCGAGTCAGAATCTGACGGTCAATAAGTCGCGCATAACATACAGTGCATCGAAAAAACCGGTTAACGATAAGTTCGACCAAATCATCAATTCTTCCAATTTTAAGATCAATCAAAACTACGGAAACAAAGAGAAGACAACTAAAGACAAACTCAACGTCTCTTCGGATTCGGAAGCAGAGGTCCAAAGCATTGACTCTAAGCCTAAAAGAAAGCCATTAATGCTATTGAAAGACAAACAGAATAAGGAATTTAAACCCAAGAAAAAGTTTAAAAGAGTTGAATCGTTGCTCTCATCCGACGATGAATTCGAGCCACAAGTTGTGGTCAAAAGCAAGAGAAGTGCGGCCGTAGAGAGTCGTGAGAACCGGTGGCTCAACCAATCCGATGACGAATTGAGTGCCCATTAATGACAACTCTATAAATGTTTTTACTTTTCTTAAATTTCGTCAAATATTTTTATATCCAATACATATCTTACAGGTCTTACAGTTTAATTACTTTATAATTGTATAAACTTTTATTACAAACAATATCTTATTAATTATTACAAACAATTTTCATTTTAAAATTTGTATTTAAATAAAATTGACAATTAAAATAATTTTAATGTGAATTAGTGTTTGAGTCCATGAATGGAATGCATTTTTTCATACATCCGTCTCTCCGAGTCATTGACAGACGGCTTGACTTTACTTAAGGCAGACTCCATGTGATGAGAGTTAACAACAATCGGAACATCACTTTTTATTTGTCCGGATATTCTCTCGGAGAGAGCACTCAAACACGACTCACGAAGTAATGAATGCAAGTCCGCACCAGTCATGCCATCGAGTCGTTTATCTTTAGCCACCGCTTCCAAGTCTACGTCTGGACTTAGCGGTGGTTTTGTTCCGTTCTGTCATTTTATAATTAATCATTTAATTAGTATTTTATGCAAAATGTTATTGTTTTAAAACAACACATACTTTACTTAATGTTTTTAATATCTCAAAGCGATCTGTGTTTGAAGGAAATCCGACGTAAAGTATTTTATCAAACCTTCCCGGCCTTAAGATCGCCGGATCTATAATGTCTGGTCTATTAGTGGCCGCCAATAGGAAACAATTCCTCGACTCTAAGCCATCCATTTCTGTCAACAATTGATTCACAACACGTGACGAAGCATTTGATGACTAAAAAGTATTTTTAAAATATAAAAAAATTAATTAAATAAAAAATGACTTAAATTAGAGACAATTACTTCGGAATCACTTCGTTTAGGACAGAGAGCATCGATTTCATCAAAGAATACAACACATGGTCTAGAATTACGAGCCCTAATGAAGACGGATCTGACGGCACGCTCTGACTCTCCGACATACATGTTGAGCAGTTCCGGTCCCTTCACTGATATGAAGTTAATTCCCGATTCATTGGCGATGGCTTTGGCCAAAAGGGTTTTCCCACAACCGGGTGGTCCGCACAGAAGTATACCCACAGATGTGGACAGACCTAACGCTTTGACGTCGTGTTCGTATTTAATGGGCGCTAATATTGACAATTGTAAGTCTTTGCGAACCGAGTCCAGAGCCCCGACGTCATCCCACGTCACGTCCGGAACCGTTGCAAAGCCTTCGCGTTTAGATGACGGCTGAATCTGTTTCAACGCTATCTCAAAGTCATTCATTTCTATAGTCAATAAGGATGTGATGTCTTCGATATTCAAAGAATTGCTATCAAATGAAGAGTTTATATCAATCTCTTTAAGCAATAAAATCCTTTCCAAAGCATTAATGGCTGATTCGCGGATCAAACTCTTGAGATCAGCGCCGACATAGCCGGGAGTCTTGTGAGCGAGAGATACAAAGTCAAAGTCTTCGGTTAACTTAACTTTCCTGCAAAGAACTCTTAAGATCTCATTTCTGGCCTTTTTGTCTGGAATTCCTAAACTTATTTCACGATCAAAACGTCCGGCGCGTCTCAGAGCCGGATCTATCGCATCGGGTCTATTGGTAGCGCCGATAACCATCACTCCCTCCGAATCACTGTTCCCTAAACCATCCAAAGATGTCAACAATTGTGTGACAATTCTTCTCTCCATTTCTTTGGAAGCGTTGTCTCTTTTAGGAGTAATTGAATCGATTTCATCGATGAATAGAATACACGGTTTCATACTTTGAGCTAAACTGAAGAGTTCGCGAATCTTGGCTTCGCTTTCGCCTGAAATTCCGGCCACTATTTCGGTGGCACCGCATCTCAGGTACGGTATGTGCAGATCGTTGGCAATCGCCTCTACGATCGCAGACTTGCCGACACCGGGCGGGCCGTGCAATAGGAAACCTCGCGGCGGCTCAACGCCTATCGTCGTATAGAGTGTCGGATGCCTTAAATGAAACATCAATTTCTTAATTTCGACCACAACTCCATCGATGCCTCCGAAGTCGTCGAAAGTGAGTTTCGGTTCGACCAAAAAGCGCTCTTTTAGTTGTACTTGTTTTGTAAGCAAAACATCGATACTTCGATCGGCTTTACTGTTGGTCTCAGTCTCTGTCCTCCTATTCGTAGCACTTCTTACAGTTCTTTCGCTCACTTTATTATGCCTTAAATTCTCACTATTTTTGGGCGTATTGTTCACTGAATGCATCGATTTGTTTGAATACAAATCATTCATGGATTTGTTTAATAAGTTCGGTTCTTCCGGTGGTCTCGATTCAAGGATAACGTCGAGAGAGTCCACACTTTCGTGGTCTTCGTTGTCATCACTCGTAGACAAGTCTTTGTTAAGCACTTCCAAAGCCTTGTCAACACATCTCAGAAGCGCTGACTTCTTCTTACGCTTATATTCGGGAAAAGTCTTTTGCAAATGATTTACAATCGTTTGGTTGTCACAGATTTCAGTTGAGGTCAACAACTGTTTCGATACAACATATCATTAGATCAGTGGATGTCTTCATTAATGTCTAATTAGACAACAGCTCAAGACATGAATTACAAACCTCTTTAACTCTGGAATACAGATATTTATCGTTATAAATGACATAACCTTCGGCTCTATTCTTCTTCTTCGGTGAATTGGTGTGCATTTGAGAAGTAGAGGACATCGAAGACAATGGTATGAATCCATTATCACAATCAAAGACACGTTTCTTTGAATTTGAAGACATTTCTCACATTTAAATAGTGTTTTGAAAGCAATGCTATTATTATAATAAATAACGTCATAAGAAATACTACTTTTGAAACACTATTTGTTCACAAAATTGGCATAACTTCTGATTCCTATTAATATGAGAAGTTGTGAAGAATTGTGTCAATTAATGCCAAACATAACCACAATATTTGATGATCGCTTCCAACCCATCATTTGGTCTCTAAGATGTAATGCCATTCAAACCCATAAACCTTACAGTATTAGCGACTTTACAATATTGGCCGACAGTATCATCACTTTAGTTGTCGCTATTTTCTAATCCCATATTATAATACCCGCTATTATTGACCCCCTCTTCAATGCATTGAAAATCATTTTCCAAATTAATTATAATTTTATAATAAAAATAAATCAAACATTTTTATAATAAATACAAATGAAATAATGTTATTGTATTTATTGATAATATTTATTAGTTTATGTATATTTATATTTATGTATCATTCAATTCATTGGTTTTATTATTATCTAAATCTAAACTCGAATCCATATCTTCACTGAACTCGTGGTGGAAATCATCCAAATTTTGCTCATATCTATCGAATGAATCGCTTAAATGACAACTGATTTGCATTTCATCTAAAATCAATTTCCTTTTCAGAGCTCGCGATAACTTTTCTCTCTTTTTGCGGTTTTCCACTAAAAATTGTTTCATTACTTTAATCCTCTCATCGGTGTTATAGAAAGCATCGGATTCACTGCCGACACTGTTTGGTGTGGGCTCTGACCAGTCGGGTGGCGGCAAAGGGTCGGCCACAGCGTTGAAACATCGGTGTTGTGCCCGAGATTTCTTCAGATTAGATAACACTATATTTATAATCAACTCATAGTTAAGACCCAAACAATTCATTTGCATATCATTTGGTTTCTTAAGTTTCATGTATTCGTAGATTCCGTCCATATTTTCGATACTCTCTTCCGATTGATTGGTGATTATCTTTCCGTCCTTTCGACCGACCCTTTCGTATGGCGTCTCAAACATAGTCTCGTCGAAGGGCTTGAAGTCGGGTCCGAAATCACATGTCTTGAGAACTCTGTCCACTTCTAAGCTATGATTTTCGGTGACATCCAAAACAAACTGAATCCACGGCACGGAATGCATCAAATGCCTGTCCATCACGTGGTGTCTCAATCGCCCCTTCATTTGATCCAACATTTTGGCCACTCTTTCTGTTTCGTCACTTTTGGAGATCCAGAAGACATTCGCCGAATCGCACCGTTTATTGACTCTAACCTAACGATTGCGGACAAAACCAATGGTCATAATCAATGATCACACGATGTGTGCAAACCTGAGTGATGTGCACTTTAAGCGCTTCCAACTCTTGACCGATCGGTTCGGTCGACAGAATGTCTGAAATGGATTGCATTAACTGTTTGTTCAAAACAATCATTCTTCTGGTCATCACTTTGTCATTGATCTCATGCGAAGTCTTGTTGTCTTCATTACTGGTATTTCTTCTATTGGGAGAACCCTTTGATATGATTTGTGGTCTGTTTTGCATCAGTTTTGTGATGAGGTCTTCGTTTCTGTTCACCATTTTTGAGATAACACTCGTCTGTTGTTTGAGTTGTTGTCGACTGAACTTGAAGTGAGATCTGATGCCAACACTACCGACACTTTTGGCATTCAATTTGATTGCATTGACAAACAAATGACATTTCAAGACATTTAATGCCATTTTCAGCAAATCTTCAGTTCGTGTCAACAATAATAACAATGCATTTCAATCACGTGTTTCTCATGTGTTTCACAATCGTAAACATAGGCGTAGAGGGGGTTCAAAAGGGGTGCCCCTTATAGTACTTTAGTTGTAATATAACTGTTACGGGCCTATTGGCCAGCTTTCCCTACACCTCCACCTTCATATCACCGCTGGAACTAATGTCTTGGGGTTTGTGTAGCACTCGATGGTAGACTCAAAAGCTTTTTCAGCTGTACTTATCTATAAAACTCTGATTTAACAAATAAAACGCTGTATTTTTGGTTGATTTTCAATATTTTATTGCGAATTCAATTAAAATTAATTTAAAAAAAATACAAAATTAAACATATTTTTAAGTTTTTAAACAAAGTTTTATGAGAAGAGAGACCACAGACCAGTGTCTGCAGTGTCTACCAGCTGAATACCTTTCCCATGGTTTCTACCACTCATTATAACCCTATTCTTGGCTCTACTTAATGCACCCTTCGGTGGCCTCTCCTCTCAGCGTATAGTAATTCTTACATAAAAAATAATTATTTTTAAAAAAAACTTTTTTAATTAAAGAAATGTTTAAAAGTCTTGTAAAACAGCGAATTTATGGCGAGAAAGCAATTAAAGTATTATATTTCAGAGTAAGAAAAAGCCATAAATAAGAAGAAAAACTATTATTTCTAGCAAAACAGCGATTAAAGGATTATTATATGAAATATCGCTGTATTTTAAAGTGAAAATAAAGTATTTAAATGTTTCAGAAATGTTATACAAATTTTGTGTGAAAATAACTTTTTGTAATTTAAGCGAAACAAGGATCACACAGCGATGCTATACGTTAACCACTATTCGAGTGATTCTCAAAGAATATGTAGTCTTTACATTGCGTTGAATAATTGTATTTTGAAAATTTAATTTTTAAAGCATTGTTAAATGAATATCATTTTTCAAAATTTTTCATTCTCATTTTAATTTATTGTTTGTATTTTAAACATCTACTATAAAGCACTAGTTCCATAGATTTATCATTGTTCCTAAGATCAGAATCAACTCCATAGACTTAACATTACCCATAGGATTAGCATTGTCATAGACTTAGCATTATTGTTTGTATTTTAAACATCTACTATAAAGCACTAGTTCCATAGATTTATCATTGTTCCTAAGATCAGAATCAACTCCATAGACTTAACATTACCCATAGGATTAGCATTGTCATAGACTTAGCATTGCCCATGTTATCCCTATGTCATAGATTTAACATTGTCCATAGGATTAGCATTGCCATAGACTTAGCATTACCCATGTTAAAGTATAGCCATAGACTTATGCTGTAATCCCATGTTAATTCCCCATAGACTCAAGAATCCCATGTTAAAGTATAGCCATAGACTTAAGCTGTAATCCCATGTTAAATCCCATAGGGTGGGGGNGTTTTGGATGTCACCGAAAATCATAGCTTAGAAGTGGACAGAGTTCTCAAGACATGTGATTTCGGACCCGACTTCAAGCCCTTCGACGAGACTATGTTTGAGACGCCATACGAAAGGGTCGGTCGAAAGGACGGAAAGATAATCACCAATCAATCGGAAGTGGGGGGCCGGAGGGGGGAGAGGGGGGCCGAACGATCCTATAAACCACATTATTCCTATCAGAATAGTGGTTAAAAATATAATTATTGTTAAATCAGCGGACGAATGATATGAAGAGCTGATCCAATGGTATGAGCGCTGATTCACTCCTTACCATAACTTATAACTTAAGTTTCAGAATTCACTAAAATAGTTGTGAACTAAGTTGTGAACTAATTGACATAACTGTAAGCTTTTGTCGGATTTGTAAATAACCGACTTATATATCGGATTTATAGCTCATGTTTGCCATGTTTAGAGTTGAGCCCATCATATCATTATTGCTAAACACTTTCAATTGAATTGTATTAATATATGGATACAAATAAAGTGAATACACGTTACGTTTTAAGCAATTTATTGATTGAAATCAATGTATATATTATATTAAATCTGTTAAATATCGTAATATATGTCATATAATTTGAATAATAGATTAAATTGCGAAATACCGGTAATTGCCATATATTTCAGTTATATTTTATACAGTAATACAAAATTCAATTCAAAACTAATTGATAACTTTATACAATAAATTTTTAGATTTTTTATAAGCGATTTTTTTAGCCAACAATTAAGTGATATCACGATTAAAATACTCGAATTTATATTCTTTAGAATCACAGAGTCTTCCATTCATTTATCTCTTTTCTTAAAAACAATAAAATATATTAAAAGTTATAATAATTTAGAAATGAGTGCATAAATCAATCTATAGATTCATCGACTCAATCGACTCCACCGAAAGACTCCGACCCTTCGATCGCTTGAATCAATTTCTCTCTCAACTCCTGATAGCTTTCATATGCGGGTAAATCCAAACGATTGAAACTATTCAATAAATCAGATCATATTAGAGTTAATGTTGGCATCAATAGCATTGCAATAGTGGTTAATACCAAGTGTGAGAACGTGGTAGATTGTGAGGAGTGCCCCACTTCTCTATAGTAAACAGTTGCGGACCATTACTGCCATAGAGCTCTTTAAAGCCATTCATAGGGACCCGAGAGGTGCCGGTGACGAACTGCAACAGACGGGAACGCATCTCATTGTTGAACGATAGCACCACCTAATCAATGATTGGCATACATATGAGACAATGGTTATCAAGTATAACATTCAATAAGATAACAGACCCTCCAAAACCATTGGACAACGATGTGGTTCGGGTGATAACTGCCTTTATATACGGTGTTTTGTTTCCAATCCTTTACGTCAACGTTTCCAATGCCACACATAAGTAGTTCCAACTCGTGTTCATCAAAAACTTTGATAAGACTTAATGGAATCAATTCATTGAAACCTTCGAGAAATGCCTCCATTTGTGGTAAAATTCGAGAAACAAATCGCCATTGAATTACCAAACTATCGTTCAAAGCATTCAAATGCATGTTTTATATGAACGATAAACACAAACACAACAATATGTTCACTCACTCTATGTATTCGAGTTTATTGTCTTGAGTGACGGCGATGTGAGTGCCCTTAGGTTTGAGCTCTCGCTGTTCTATTTGTCCGAAGAGGTCCTCATCGATGGAGAACCTGAGGTCGAGCTCCGATGGATCGTTATCTAGAATCCATTTGAGAGAATTGAAATACTCGGTGTCCACACTCTCCATGTCCTTTAATTGGATCGGCTTTCCTAACATCATCTTATAAAACGGGCGAATGAAAAACGCTTCCAAAAGTTTGCCTAATATTTAAGTTCACACATCAAAGTTGTTTAGAAACTCTTGTTTAGAGCAATTCACGCATACATACCGTGAAATATAGCCATTCCGGCCACTCGTCCGATGAACTTAAAGTAAGACAAGTGCTCCTCATTACACATACCAGAAAACGGGTTGATTTGGAGCGTATAGTTATCAGCGGCCGAGTACTCAAACAAACCATAATAAGGATTAAACATCTCTTTTGATAACAAGTAGAACCATTCTCGAGAGGCGCCCCCGTAGTCGAGCACCTCTTCGCCGTCAAACTCGAGCCATAGTTTTGTTTTAAGTAAATCGACGCGACTTATGCCCGAAATAGAGCGATACGAGTCTTCAAATATGTTAGTTCTGCTCACTTTGATCTCCAACTTGTTTGGCACGTTTGACGGACGCGGCAGACGAAGCTGTCAACACATCTCATGTATTATTTCACATACAAACAAACATATGTTTAGAAAATACCTGTAAATATTCATATTTGCGTTTATAGTCCCGAGAATAGGGAACCGCAGGACCAGCGATATTGGGATTGTTGAGACGCGGGTCATCCCATTGGGTCACTCTGTTGTCTGTTGGATGTAATGAAAGACAGTTAACATAATCACCAAATTCAGAATGGATTCATTGCATACTGTGATCGATGAAGAATATACGTCCGTCGGAGTGCATGCGTTCCTCCCAACCATCGGGAAGAGGTCCCAAATCGTCGACTGTATTCAATTTAGGTTTGTTCGCTACATTGGTTTGGTTGGGCGCAGGGCTCGCCTTCCCATTCCTCGGGTCGATCCAAGTGGTAGTCTTGGAGTTGTGGTCAATAAAGAAAATTCTTCCATTGGGTGCCACTTGTAGTGACCAGCCCTCTGGCAATCCGTCGTTTGTTTGTGGAATTGTAGGACTTCTGTGACCAGCGGTAGAATTGCTCGAATTTGAAGGACCGGCAGGCGGTACAGGCTATTCATTCCAGTAAGCAATTCATGTTTATATTATTTTATAATTAACATATATTTTGCAACTATTATAAAGCAATTTATTACACATCATAACGCAATCGAATGCATTCAACACTAAACACAACATTCAAGCACTTCTATGGGATAATATGAATTAAACAGAGTTCAACCAAAGTTGAAAGTGCAAAACATATAATGGATTGGATTGAATGCAAAGCTACACTTAAGTGCAAATAATCCGTGAAAAAGAGTTTCGGCGTAAACTAATATTGTGTTAGAATTTGTTAATTCGCAAACTTATTCCAATGATTAGTGTTAGTAATGAGATATTAAGTGATTAAGTGGTAAATAGTAAGCATTGTTTGTATCATTAGTGAGAATCGCCGAAAGCCTTAGTCATTGATCGCAACAATAGGGAAGGCATGAGAACCTCGGAGTGTCGACGAGTTGTGCTCACAAGTTGTGTCAGAAGTGAGGGATTTATTCTGTTTGTGGTGAGTGTGAGTCGTCGTTGAGATTCTAATAACTTGGGGCACAAGTAGTGATCATTTGATTATGACTTTCATTTAGGATTTCATTCAAATGCAGGTTCGAGTCAAACAATTTATATGTATAATATATGGTACTAAACATAGGCTAATCAAATATGCACAACTAATTTGATCCTCATTATATTAATTGTTAAATATAAATTTATAAATCATCATATAGAATTCAAGCTGTATTTATTGTTACAAAACAGTGTCATTAGTTTGCATATATCTATTGTGGTTCCGAACAAATCACCCGAAGTCTAACCTTCACAAATACTTTACATTATAAAGTTTATAAATAGAGTGATCTTGTATAAATCGCAAACTCTGACTCATCAAATTAAAAAGTGCACATTATTTGTCTAATCTATTGATTGCCATTGAATAACATGGCCCGAAGTGTTTCCGATGATTTCTCCGCAACCATAACAGACACATGCAAACTAAGTTCTAAGTATAGTGTGTTTTATTCAGAGTCAAATTAGTTGTGCATATTTTCTAAGCCGAGTTTAATAGTATAATAATATCAAATCAATATACTGTATGATAAATGGGTTGCATTTCTTACTTCATTAATGGGTTCTTCATTGGTAGAGTTGTGTTCGCCATTTTGTTCGACACTGATGTGTACCCTTCGTCTGAATTCTTGAGCTGATTCGAGACTTCTTTGTTGCGTTTGGTCCTCATTAATACTGGTTGTACTGAAAGTCACCATTTGGTCAGTCGTTTAGTGCAAATCATTGCAATTTATAAAACAATCACTCACTCTGTCGGTCGATGCCATTGAGTGGTGCGCGCGATATGGTTCACGAAATATGTCCTTCCGTTCGCATCCTGTCGTTCCTCCCAACCCGTCGGCAATAGAGTTGATATTGAATCAGAACTGCTTGACTGCATCAGGATTGGCGGCGCCGGATGTTCTTCGGAACCGTTATCAACGTCAACCACTTCCCAACCCGGCTATCAATTGTTGGACATATTGGCAAATGTGACAAAAAGAGGGACAACATTGATATAAACCTCATTCTCTTGAATGGATTGTGTCTCCTCTTCATCTGATGATGCGATGTACGCGTGATAGAGCTGTAAGTGTCCCTTCACTTTGGATCGGGCGCTGAAATACACATTTCATTAGTTAACAAATCACTCATTCATACACTAAATAGGCGTTTGAGAAATGAATGGATACCTTCGCGGACGCAAAATGTAATACTTTTGAGATATCGTACGACCGGCTCTTTCAGTGGGAATGTTATGCAACGGGAGTTCAACCATTCCGAGGAAGTCATCGCGAGTTAACCGGTTTTCATCAAATACTTCTAATAACAATCGATGGTTATTAGGGTTGGCCCTGAATATGAACTCTTCTTCCCATTTGGGATTCAATGTCTGAATTGCAAAAAGTAATTCAAATTCAAGTAAATTACAAACAAATGCATTATTAAAACCTTTTTCTTAGTTTTGGTGTAAACAGAGTCGATGACCGAGTCGTCGGCATTTCGTATCAAATCGATGCGAACGTATGGATCCGATGCGCCGAAGATGTCTTTCTTCGCTAAGTTATGTCCGGCAAACACTTTGAGCCGAAGTAGACGTATGTCTGACGCGTCCTGTAATACATCCATTCAATTGTTTTATTGCTTGACATTTGGCTTACGATTAAATATTGTCATACGATTTGAAATTAATGTGATTTTTATGACACATTCAGTCATATAAAACACAATGAGATTTGAAAACAATTTATAATCTAATCTGTAATTCACTTTTCGTTCACTTAAATATCAATTTCTATCAAATAATCAATTTTTTTGTCAATTCATTAATTAATCGACAATTGATTTCATTTCAATGGAAATATCCTTAAAATATATTAATTCATAGAAAATATGCAAATATTTTAATATTTAACAAATTGGCCCTAAAATAGCAATAATTTCATGATTAGCCGTAAATCATGAAAATTAGTTTGATTGACATTAACTGTAAACTGTATGCCATTTAACTGTATGCCATGTTTTTAGTAAAACTTTGCAATCAATTAATCATAAACTTTATATCAATAAATCATTTCAAAAATTTAAATAAAAATCAATACCAATGTCTAACTGTAATATTCAAAGCATTCACTCATTTTTATAAACGCTATTTAAATGCAAATTAAATCAATTAAAATTGTTTTCAAACAAAATATTACTTTTAAAAATGTATTTAATTTATGCATCAAATACTGAATGCTATAAATGTAGTGAAAAGTAATCATAAATTTAATGACATTTAAAATGAAAGTCACATTTAAGAGCATTTCGTGAATAGTTATGAGAAATAAAATTTATATTGAATTTAAAATGAAAATGAGTTGTAATGAGTGGTAAATGTAATGATAATGTGATGCAAACCTCAATAGTAGTGGAGTCAGTGCTCTGAGTCCAGCCATATATCCTCTCGTTGGCCATCAGAGAGAGGATCAGATCATCAAATGGTTTGCAATTAAAACACAATTACAATTGAATATAACATTAAAAGTCAATACAAATGTAAATAAAAATTATAAAATATATCAAAATTATATTTCAATTGGTTTCGCAATTCATAGTCAAATACACCGTTCACTCAATTGGACGCCAATTATAACCACTAAAATCATACACTTTTATGACTATTTTAATTACAATTATAATTATAAATGGTTTACAATTAATATAACGTATTATTGTTTACTAAATAGTAGTGAATAATAAATACTGTAATTGTATTGCAATTCATTACAACATCTCATGACATCACACACGCAGAGCACACCATTCGTATACAACGTTACGCTCACTCAACACAACCCCCAAAACAATGAGACAATTAAAATGAAATTAATCTGTTTATTAAATTTAATTAAATCATACAAAAAACACGTTTAAATATAATTATAATTATATATAAAGCAAACAATTGAATCGAGTTTTCAATAGTTTGCTCACAAAAGTAATCAACGCTTGAAAAGGCATTTCATATGAAACGACAAATGAATTGTTAATTCAGGATTTGATGTGAAATTGAATACAAATGATCATCAATTGGTGGATGAAGTGATGGTCAAGTGATGGGTGACAATGGGTGGCGAGTGTGTGATCACTGCCACCACTACTCGCGCATCTCTCCGTCCTCTTCCTCTTCGTCGACGCCTCTGATATATAAGACATTATTACATCGGATGAGGACTTCACCCAAATTGCCGGTACAGTTGCCGTCGATGTACTCTTCAGTGTTGGCCAATTGGAGGTTCATATAGGCGTCCACTGAGATGAGGTACCCCTTGTACTCCATCCCCCACTTGAGCTTCACTAACACAGCTTTGCCCGTCAGACCGTTGAGGAATGGTTTGGGATTCAATGGCATCGTTCCCGCCATGGCTTAGCTTCACAAGTGGTTGTCTTCAAATGTCTTCAAATGGGATCCAATATATGGATATTTGTTGTAAACAACAAAACAAACAAAAAGCCGAAAACCAAACGATTGTCTCAACACTGATGGCGACCGCAAACGACACTAACGCCACCGCCGGTCACGTGACTCAACGCACGTTGGCTTTAGGCCTTGTATTGCTTGACAACACTGTGTGTCACCACTGACTGCACTGACTCTGCCATCACTTCATGTCATTCACACTATCCTTAGATCACACATACTATACGTCAATATTGTGTTCATATGTTTTTTGTTATAATAAATTCAATTCAATTATATCTACATTTAGTTGTCTTTAAAAACATTTAATTGATTAAAGAAATAGTTGTAAAATAAAAGTAAAATGATTACAAATATAAACATTATATTTAGTTTAAGTTAATTTGATATTAGAAACAATAGTTGACGTAATTATTGAGGTTCACAATAGCGGGAAAGTGTGGATGTGTTGACCCCCCGAATGCATCGCCCATTGAAGGCTGTATTGAGACGATAGGGGGAGTGAATGGCAGTGAAGGCCAGCCCTGGGTTTGGGGACAACGTGTCGACTGTGAGGGCAATACTGTGTTAACGAAGTGTTTATTGAAAGCATTTGTGAGACATTTGTATGTTTTGTATGCAATGGTAGAAACGATTCACACGTTTTCTTATCAACTATTAGTTTATTTTAATCATTATTTCTATCATTTTATTAATTTTAGTCAATTATTAGCCAATTGTGGACACATTGTATTGATTTGACTATTAATAGCAGTACTCGTGAGAAGAGATAGTTAGCCATACGATGACAGAAAGCGAGGAAGAAATGCCTATTATTGATATGGGTTTGTATTGATTTGATTGACTTAATTGAATGTTTATGTAATTGTATTGTTTGGTACTTGATATACAAGGAGTGAGCGATAAGATTGCGAGTCATAAGTTTGCTGATGAGGACGAGTCGGACGACGGCTTGAAGGATAATTGGGACGATCCGGACGAAGAGCCCGTCGTCGCGACCGAAGCGCCAAAACCGACAGCCGTTTCGTCGAAGAAGAAAAATTTGTTGTCAAAGATCGCCGAAAAGGAGCGCAAAGAACGCGAATCGAAACCTCAGACCAGCGAAGAACTGTTGGCCGAAAAGTTAGAGCGACAGAGACTTCAAGAAGAGTCGGATCTATTGTTGGCAAAGGAAGCGTTTGGAGAGTCAAACTCATCGACGAGTGCTTCTGGTCTTGACATCAATCTTAACACGAGAGAGGATTTCGATTCATTCCGCAAGAGTCTGATCGACAAACTGCTAGTTTATGATAAATCTCCTCATTTTGTGAACTTCTTGGAGAATCTGTTCCGCGAATTATGCGTTTCTATAGAATCGGATGATATAAAGCGATTGTCCAGTAGTTTGACCGCACTTTTCAACGAGAAAGTAAAGCTACAGAAGGTATGACTAAAACATTGATGTATTCGTGAATTAATTTCTAATCACAACTTATTTGATACGAAAGGCCGGAGCGAAGGGCAAGAAGAAAGGAAAGGGTCCGTCAGTTCATTTGGAGCGCAACGCCACCGCATATGGCGATGACGCGGGTCTCGACGATTTCGATGACTTTATTTAAAATTGCTTTTTATTATAAATACTGCACATAATTATAATTATAAATAAATATACTTTCGTTATTAAGAAATATAACAATTCGTACAACTATTGGAATTAACAAAGTTTAAAGTTTAAACAATAATAAAATTAGAGATTTGTATTTTATAGCTCATAAGAGTCCGTTTCGGCGCAAGTCTTGTAAATAAGCGCCACTTTCTTCGCTAATCATTTGATGATTGACTTCATTTAGATTGAGTTTAGACGCCATTCGGAAACGCTTTTCGTAATCAGGAATATATTGTATGAGTCTTTGAATTGATTTCTTGAGTTGAATCACTCGATCGTGAGATATGTTTTGGTTTGAAATGAATTTAATGTATTTATTAACAATTTCTTCGATAAATGAAGTGCTGATATCTCTTCGTGTGATATAATCGGACCAATAGTTCCAATCATTGTTGAGAATAACACGATTGAAGACAGCGTTAACCCAACTCGTGTTGTACTGATAGGCGTTCGCAACGATTAACGCCTAAAGTAAAGCATTGAAATGATTAGTGATTTAGATTACAATTGAATTCTATAAATACCTCAAAAAAGTTGGCGCTTTTGCTTTCAATAAATGACTCGATTTGAGTGCTATTCATATTAATGAGGAAAACATTTTGTGGCAAATAATGCAATTGAAGTGCAATAAGTTTGGCCAAACGACCGCATGTTTCCGCCTGACAATGACAGCCAGCCTTCGAGTAGGACTCGTGAGCGTCGATGAACTCATACATAACGGTCTCGAGTTGTTCCCTATGGCTCATCAGATTTGTGGTGAATCTGTATTTCAGATCATTGTATTGTCGTTTGGCAGACATTTCGTGGTTTTCCGCGATTTCTCTGTAGAGGCAGAAGCGAAGGGCCACTAATGGGAACACCTCTTTGTCGCCCTTCAAGTAGTCGAGTAATGCTATTCTGAGTTGGGGCGCCTATAAAGTGGTCATTGGTTTAGATTAACACATCATTTATTGGCAATAAATTATTGCAAACCAATTGTAAATACCTTTTCAATACGTTTGCTGAGAAGAAGTTCAAACTGATTGTTCTCTTTGAATAAATCGAAACAATAAGTCATTTCAGAATACCTTCCGATTCCTGTCATTAATCGCAGAATTGAGTTAAAATCTTTCAATTGAAGTAAGTTTTGAGTTATAAAAAGTCGTGTTTTCCTTAAGACGAGAGCAATCCCTTTGACATCGCATTCGTGTGCAAAGCATTCGTGAGCTTTGATATAAAGTTTGGTTAAAATAAAGTTATTTTTCGAATCGTTTAGAAGGGCTTCCGATTCGGCCAACAGTTTTGTGCCCAAACTTGTCGTGTCTTTCAGAAGTCTAACCATTGATAGAAAACTTGTACTCATTTCGACTAAACTGCAAACCGAAGACTCTTTGCAATTGTCGTAATCTTTCGACATATTCTTCAATATAAACAGTGTTTCGTTGCATATGATTGAAGACATGTCTTCATCCGATATATTCTTCAAAGCAATCAATTCTTTGGCCAAAGACAAGGAGTCGTTCTCTCGGTTGTCGTGAATCGCTATTAAATCCCTCAATACTTTCAAATCATCACATTTTGAGCCATCAATGGTTGACTCATTTCTTCCCAGAATCGCAAACATTAGTGAATATAACTTCGATTGTCGTTCTTTGCGCTCCTTTTCGGTGATCGTCGACAGCAACTCATCGTCACAATTGTGGACCACATCTTCCTCCTCGTCCTTCGAGGCCTTCCTTTCGCTCACATTTGCTTCAATACAAACTACAATACAATTAGCAAAACATGTCAATCAAGTCAAGCAAATCAAACCTAAAGCACTCATTTTGTTGTCTCTTTGGTGCCAATCACTCCTCACGAGTCGTGTATTAACAGTCAAATCAATACAATGTGTTCACAATTGGCTAATAGTTGTCCCAAATTAATAACATTATAGAAATCGCGTAAATATGAAAATAATTATAAAAATAAACTTATGATTGAAAACAAAAAACAGCAGTAATTCACACAAATTATGTCAAACAATGATTTGATGTAATACTTGAAGACTTGAGTACAAAACTATTTGTAAGAACAATGTTCTGACAACAACTTGTTAGAACATGATCATTTATAAAAGCGTCATTTTTAAACTTCTCATTTAAAAATATTCATGTCAATATAAATGTGAATATTAATTATTTTAGTTTTTAGGCATTTTAATGCTATTATTGCAATAAAATTAAAACCTCGTTTAAATATATTTACCATAGTATTAATAGTAATATTCTAATGAGCCTTACACTTATAACTAAAACTATTGATTGAAGTTTTATTGCTTAATTTAAAAATAATAGAAGAATTAGTCATATTCTCGATATAATTGTAAAATTTATGGCAATTTTAGAAAAATGGATTCAAAGTGACATAAAAGGTGTGCAACGATTGCATCAATACTTTCCTGAAATGTAAATTCTGAAAATTTTTCACACATTTCCCAAAATGCTTATAAAATATGTAAAAATTCGATGCTTTGAAGTCATTTGAATAAAACTATTATCATGTTTATTTAATAAACTTTCTTATGTCAAGTAAATGATTATAGAATAAACTGTCCCTTTTAGATGGGTTTATGAAATCCATGTGTTCACAGCATCGATAGATTTTTGTGTTGTACAATGTATGCAATGGCAAAAATGTTCATGTTACATGAATCATGTATTATCAACTAATATTCCTAGTTATTATGGGACGGTTGTATTAAACCACATATCATATCAATTCAGACATTTTTTAAAGCAAGAAAAAAGCAATTGACATTACATTTGAGATAAAAATGTATTTAAGACACATAATTAGTAACATATAAAGCGAATTATGCTTTTAAGATAACTTCCATTCAATTATAATGCTTTTTAATACCGATAGTTAAAAAAATTTCGAGTATATAATTGACGAGTTATTGAGTTTTTAGCTTTTTCTAAATTTTTACTGTGATATAAATATATTGCATAATTAATGTAATACTTGTTTCCTAAATAAAATTAATTACTATTTTATTCCTATTTTTACTTATGAATTGAATATTTCATTAATGTTTTCCATAATTTATGTGTTAATTGTTGTTAAATTATAAAATTTTAAATATAATAGTATTTAGCAATAAAATTGTTATTTCGCTGACATTTTGTGATGAAATAAATAAAACAAAATGATTTTAATTTAAATTATAATTTAATATTTTATTATGATGAAAAATTACCAGTACTTAACAATGCATTAAATTTATTTACAAATTAATTGACATTAGATTTTTATAGAGAAAATTGCGATAAATTAAATGAATTGATGTTTTGAAATGATTTGAGAGAATTGGCACTAAATGTGTTTGGATTTAGAAAACCATTTGGTCTTTAAAATGAATGTTTGAGTGATTTTATGCATATATTTAAGCATTTTTATACAATAATCTATTAATACATTAAAAATTATTTATTAATTATATATTATTGATGTGATCGCAGACTAGAAATAATTTATGGCATAAATTAATGGAAATGTCGAAGAATGCTATCAATAGTTATTGTGATAATAATCCATCACTTCTACCAAACCCTCTGAAAGATCATATTCTTGTCTTTTTTGTTGAGTTCGTAATTCTCGTCAAATTCACTACAAGTGAACGAATCGTCTGTATTGTTGTCCACGTCTTCGTCTCTCTGGTCGTCGTCCTCTTCATTGCATTTGTCGTTAGTCTGAAGTTTATTATTGTTTCGGTTATTGACTGGTGGACAGGGAGGCACCTGAGGGCTCAGGTCTTGGAGTGTCAGTATTCGGGGCATTGAAGACAATTCGCTGACTGAAGGGCTGAGTCGAGCCAACGGCGCGTGTCTGTGGTGTAAGGGTTGGGAATCCCTATTCCGAAAGCCCTTATAATGGTATACGATATCGATATCTGAAGGCGCGATACTCGACATGTTTTCCAAGTCATAGTGTTCTGCTGTCGACAATATATTACTGTAACTGTCGTTATAGTTATCGGAATGCGAGTGCATTATAGAGTTGGGAACGGCCGGCGGCACCGGGCGTACGATCTCCGCCGGGGGTACAGCTATAGGCGACACCACATCCGGCTGTTTGGCTGGCAGTCGCAGAGGTATGCCATGAGTGGGCGTGTGATTGGGTAGAGTTGACTGTGAATGTGGCTGAACCAGAGTGGACGGGGGAGAGGGTGTTGTGGTCAGGTATGGCTTGATTGTAGCCGTCATTTTGCGTTGACTTGTATTGCAATCTCTCAACTGATTCTTCTTCTGGTTGTGAAATATGAGAAAACTCGTCGAAATGACGAGAATTAAGATCACGAAGAATGTGATCACAAGAATAACTCCGATTGACTTCAACTGAATGGCACTGAATTTAGGAGAGGGTTCGTTACTCTCGTAGACAATAATATTGAGATAAGCGCTGGAACTCCTAACAGGAGAGCCCTTATCATAAGCTCTAATTGTCAGGTTATAGCTCGAGGTCTTCTCCCTATACAAAGAGCCATTCACTCTAATTATATGTGAATTGCCGATTGAGTCTAGTCTAAAATGACCATGCTCATCACCATCTGTTATGTCCAATGATGTCATTCCATTCAAGCCGTGGTCCAAATCAACCACAGAAACGGCCGCAACAACACTACCATTGGCCGCATTCTCATCAACACTCGCCTGATCTGATCCCGAGAAGTATCTGAATTTAATGGCCGGCGAGTGATTGTTTGAGCCGCGAATCTTTGCGGTCACATAAGTGCGGCCGTCCTGTCGAGGAGTGCCGAAGTCGTGGGCAAACACTGTGAACACACATACCTTCGAGTAGTCGTTGTTGTCTTCAGCACTAACTGTACCGCAATTTATAGGCCCTTCTTGTGCTGTGAAGATAATGCCTGTATTCGGGTCTATAGTGAAGTAGTCATTTGATAGCAAATAATAGCTGATTCTACTGTTTTCATTGGCTTCTTCATCAGCATCGGTGGCTCTGACCTGAAGAATAGACGCATCTTTGCCAACACTTTCATTAAGGCTTACACTATAGTCCGAGTGATCAAAAATTGGCGGATTATCGTTAGAATCCAAGATTTTAACGTTAAATAAGACGGAACTTGATTTGAGGCCCTCATCGATGGCTGAAATGTTGAGAACATAACTACTCTGGGCTTCTCTATCGAGATTATCAGAGACCTCGAGGTGTAGGAAAGCACTGGAAGTGTTGTAACTAAGTTTGAATGGAAAGGCGTTTGTGGTGTATATGCTGTCTGTGCTGTTGTTCACATTGATGTGATAGTGTAGATGACCCTCGTCTGGGTCTATGGCGGTGTCGACAATGACTTTGGTGCCAATCGGTGCCGATTCACTAAATGACAGATTCGTATTGATATAAGAGGGCCAAAGAGGTGTGTTGTCGTTCACGTCCACTATTTTGATCTTCACTTCCAATGGATATATCGGTGACGACGAAAGGATCACTAAATTATAAAAGTTTTTTGTTTCCCTATCTGTGGGCACATTAGTGGTGACAATGACACCAGTCTTTGAGTCCAATTCAAACTCTAAGGGCTCGTCATTGAAACGATATGTGAATCCAGTTTTCACTGATATTTTGCCGACATATGTATTCTGCGGTGAGTTTTCCTTAATTTCAAAGTAGAAGATATCATTGGAAGTGGTTGTGGCCGAGAGACTGGTCCGGATCACCAAACACTGTAGACTTATCACTAATAATGTTAATAATTTTGGTAAGAGTTTGCCGTCGATTAGCACTGATATGCTCTCCATTCGCAACATCTCCTCAATTGAAGCCAACAATCGCGACAACTATTGTATGTGTAATGTCTTCAGTGATAAGCAATACATTTGTTTGATTTGAATCCTAATTCCTATCACCAGAAAACCGGTTGATTTGATTCGTGAATCCAAATGTGATTTATTTGATGAGATATTTGAATGATTTGTAATTTAGTTTTTCTGAATTTCAAATCAAACTTTACTTAAATATACAAATATTACTGTATATGAAGACAAACACCAATTAATGAGAAAACAATACTTTACGATATTTTGTTCACACATTGAATATAACTTTTAAGGAATGATAACAACCGATGTTTAATTTGCTCACAAGTAGTGGCAAAAAACAATTGCATTTGGTTTGAGTGCAAAACCCAAGCCTTCTTTGGCAGTCTTTGACATATTATCCATAGCAGGGCTCAGGGATTACAAAATAAACTTTAAATTCACTTTTGTTCAAAACACTGGTCGCCTCCCTCTCCCCTAAGGTTCAGCTCAGGCACATCTCAGGCACATCTCAGGCACATCTCAAGCACAGTTCAGCCACAGGCTCTCTCTCTCTCTCTCTCTCTTTCCTTCTCTCCCTTCTTCTTCTTCTATTGGTAAACCTGTTCTGAGGAATGTTTGGCTCAAACAGAGCCAGAGAGCCAAAGAGCCAATGCCTGTGCAAAAAGTTGGTTCCAATGCTAATACGGTATTAGCAATACCTGTGTTGTAGAGTCAGGGCATCACAAAAAACCAGACGAGAGCCTAACGTTCCTCTATTTATTGCTCACAAGTCCTGTTCTTTTACAAGAGTTTCAGACAAGAGTTTAATAAATTCAAAATTAAAATAATTATTGTTAACTAAATTTTCAATTGTTATTATTTGTCATTTTTTAAATCATATCCTCTCCATAATTAATACAAACAACAAGAAAAATAGTTAACGAATTTGTAATCAATATTGAGATAATAGACTAACTTTATTCCCAGAAAATATTTTTTCTCGCAAAACATTTTTTTCGTAAACACTATTTAGTTATAGTCGTAAAAGTGGAGACCTCTTAACCCCTGTTTAGTTGATTAAACTGTAGACTCTATGCCTGTTATAGTTATAAGTTATAACAAATGAAAATTTCCTTAAGTCTGTAATTATTTTCATGGAAACACTTATTCACCCGAAAAAGAGAGTCTATGAAAGGAGCAGAGCTTTTGATTTATGAAAATAATTAAAAATATAAACTCACAATAAATGGCAAAATAGCAAAATATCTCTATAACTATTTTAATGAAAAAAATTGTATTTTAGTTATTTTGAAGTAATTAAAAGAATTGATATTAATTTTTTTGAGAAAACATATTTACTTGTATTTTTGTATGTAAACTAAAAGCAAAAATAAGTTCAAAGACAACATTTGTTTGAAAGAAATCACATTTTTACCCTAATTTGTAAAATATTTTTGGTTTTTTGAGAATTTTTTCTCTTCTTTTGATTTTTGCTTATTATTCAGTTCTTGTATTTCTAGAGACAAAAAGCAAAAGATTTTGTCGATCAAAGCAATAGTTCCGTCGGTCGGACCAAACCCTCATTTGCATAACAAGTTAGCATCTGATGCCTCAGGCGTTAAACAATTTATAAGTAAATTCAATGATCGCTACTAACAAAAGAGGAGAAGAAGAGCTCGTGAGCCCAAAACGCTGGCAAATACTGTACTTACAAATACATTGCTAACAAATACTAAACGCTATTTTCATTATAACTTAAATAATGCTCAGTTTGTGATAATAGAAAAACTTATGAACACTGTATGAACGGTGGGCTTATTATTCGGTGTATATATTTTTTGCTTGTTTTCTCATTTTTATTATTAGAACCAGTTTTTACACTTGTATTACAATTGTTAGAAATAAATTAAATTAAATTAAACAAAAAACAGCAACAAATTGAATGCAAACTTTAAATTCACTTTTGTTCAAAACACTGGTCGCCTCCCTACTCTATCTCTCTCTCTCTCTCTCTCTCTCTCTCTCTCCTTAAGAGTATTCTTAAAAGAAATTTTTATGGCAATTCCAATGAATTAATTCATTTATAATATAATACATAACATTATTTATAAAAAGCTTAATATTTTTCGAGCGGATGTCAAAAATCTCACAAAATAAAAATATCCGAAATATTTTGTCTAAAAGAAAATTAGAATTTTATATGATTTGAGTTTCATTTCAAAACATTGCCATTTAATTACATGTTTTTATCATTTCAAACAAATTGAAAACCACACTCTTTTGGTATAAGATTATGAAATGATATGTATATACAGTATATATTGTCTCTCAAAGGGTTATAATCCAAGTTTTGGTAGAAAATGTAAATTCTTGAAAATAGTTTCTCACGAATTGTAAAATATGCCGAATATAATACTTAATGCCTTTTCTCCGACTCTAAGCTTAAGTCTATTGTATTGAATTCTTGCTTTGCTTTACTCAATAGCTTAACAAAACATTCAAAAGTATACTGTATTTTCAAAATACACTGTATATTATAAGACTGCTCTATACTCTACATTATATACATTATAATTTTGGAGTTTTGTTAATTCAGAATACAGTAAATATTTGCTCCAAAATATATCATTTATTTAATAACAATACATTTGACGCGATGTTTATTTTCACAGAATATATATTTATCGAAATAAATCCCAAAACTAAACTCATTTCATGTAAAATATAAATACAACTATAGTTATGACAAATTGTTGAATATTGTTTCGTCTGATGTTGTGAACAACATATGGTTTAAAATTATATTAAATATGAATACATTTAAAAAGTTATTGTATACATATTTATTTCTATATCAATATTTAATTTATCCACTAATGTTGGGTTACATGGGCATATGAGCATGTTGTTTATAAATTAGCATGCACAATAGCAACTAATGTATTAATTGATAATTTGTCAATTGTTAAAGTTATACAACAAATCGAATAAAATAACATAACTTGGTACAGTATTGCAGTAAGTAAAATTTAATACTCGTAATACATTATGTTTTGCTAACATAATGTAGTATTTGATATTGAATTCTGAGGATAAATAAAATATTGATTTGTAGGCAGTATTATTTAACGAAAATACCATTTACAATGTATTTACAATTTTTATTATATATTAATCTTGGTCATTTTTGGTTATACCAATTTTGAATTAATAAATTGCTATAACTGTTCAAATTCATGTATATTTTACACAATTTTTAACCACAATTCAGAATGAAAAATGTGTTTCATAGGAACTCGACGCTATTGCCTCCCCCTCTCCCACCCTATGGGATTTAACATGGAATCACATGTTATTCCTATCGCAGAGTAATTTATTTCTGGAGCAATGTTACAATAATTACGTAATAACTGTAGCATAAAGTTAACGCATTATTTTAACGACGTTATTGATCCATTGCTACAGAACCATATTCTCAGACTATATGACAGACTTAGCATTACGACTCTCCATAGTAATAAATTATAGTGACATTTCTCTACGAGAAAATGTTTATACATGGGTTTATAATTACAACTTAAATCTACTTTGTTTGACATAGGGTTAATATGGTAATGCTAAGTATATGGGAGTAATGTTATTTCAATGGGATAATGCTTTTTCTATGGAGATATATTAAACAAATCTAACAAATTAAATCAAACTAATTGTTGTGAATAACATTTAAAATTGTAAAAATAGCAACAGTGAAAGTATTCGAACAGAAGTGTTGAAAAATTTTAAATCTTTGATGCATTTCCGGAATTGTGGTTAAGGCATAGCATCGCGTGTGGACCTTGTTATTTAATATACAACACACATAGCGATGCTATACGTTAACCACAATTCGGGTATTGCTCAAAAAATATATTAGCATTCGTCCCAAAAACTATAAACATGTATGAATTGTAGTTAAAAATAAATCCAATATTAAAAATAGTTTTTATAAATTATTATTAAGATATGGAAAACTAAATATTCAATGTTTTTCTCAAATAAACTCATAATTTGTCGACAAATATTTTTATCCAGGAATTATAAATTTGCAAAACAAATAATATATACCATAACTATATTATAGCATAACTTATGGTAGTTTACATAAAATGGTCAGATATTGTAAATCATAGGGAGGTGTAGCCCGTCATAAGGCATGACACATGCATTTTCTTGCATTTGCTTTAAAAAACCAGAAATATTAATAAAACTTTCATATGGTGTACATTCTTGGAAAAAGTAATTATTCAAATAGTTTACGACTTTATGAAAAACAATCAATTATCTACTCTTCATAAAAAATATCAAATAAATTATTAATTTTTAAGTTCTTTTATTCGTTCAGTTAATGTGTAAACAAAGAAAAAGTAATTATTCAAATAGTTTACGACTTTATGAAAAACAATCAATTATCTACTCTTCATAAAAAATATCAAATAAATTATTAACTTTTAGGTTCTTTTATTCGTTCAGTTAATGTGTAAACAATATATTTAAAAGAAAAAATTGTATAAAAACTTATAAATAATTGGCTCTAAATAAATGAGATTCTTATATAAAAATTATATAAAAATTTTACAATAAGAATGATTTGTATAAAATTTATATTAAGTGCTCATATAATACAATACATGTTTTTATATGAATTATGTCAATAAAATAAGTGAGTTATTTATAAAATGCATTTATAATTAAATAAAAATAAATTATAAAATCGTGTAAACATTTAGTGTTTGTGTCAACAATTTTTTCGATCAAGAAAATGTGAGATTTGTGTGTAAACTATGGATACAATACAATAAATGTCGGGTTTTGTAATGCTTTGATGTGATAGTAGAGCGAAACGACCACAAGATATAAATAAAAGTGATAACAAGAATAGCACCACAAGATTAGCGCCGCAAAAGTGGCCCATTCCTGCAAAATAAATGCATTAACAAATAAGTGTCATCATTGGCACAGATGGTGGTCACTGTTGGCCATCAATACTCACGTTATGATAATAACGATAGACCATAAAAATGCCAAACGAGACGACAAACAATATTTCGAGAAGAGTTACATAAATGAATGGCAGGTAATAGAAACGGGTCTCCTATGGGAGTGAACGCATACATGGGTTAAACAAACTTTGTTTAATGCTTTATACAAAGTGTATGAATACTAACGGTTTTGATGCCATGAATGAGACCCAGAGAGCAGAAGAATATGTAAGATATGCTGTAAATGATGAGAAAGAGTGACGAGACTGTCATTCCGTAGCGATTGAACTCAAATAAAGGCGAGAAAAATGTATCGCTTTGTCCTCCCATTAGGATATATATTGAATAAAACAATATTAATATATGAAGAAAAGCACAATACAGTGCTATAGTAATGGAACCATTCCTCAGGTTCATGAAACCCGAGTTGAGGGTAAAACACGGCGCCCAACACCGACTCAACAGTGCCATCACTTCTGGCCGATCGTCTCCTTTGGATCACAAGTCACTTCCAGGTATACACAGACACACAGACACACCCGTCCCATACATACCAATACTATGGCATACCTGCCAAACATGTACAATTTACACACCTGTTTCTACACCACATACAACGTTATGCATATCGGGGGTTGAGTTGTGAATGTGTATATAAGTGTGATTGTTCATTTTACAAACTTTATCAACTTTTATTATATGGAAAAGTAGTTTTAATTTATTTAAGACATTAAACAATTTATAAGGTTTGAAGTATATATTTACAGAATATACAACCAAATGGACATTAAAATTATATTTCTTAAAATAGCTAAAAATATCAATTACTTGTTGAGAGAATTGAAGAAAATTTAAAAAATTGATATCAAAATACATGTCGAAAGAAGTAAAACATTAATTAAAGCACTTTTCGAAGAAATGTTAGTTTTTTGTCCTTTGGGTTTGTCTTTGGATTCGTTTCCATTCGGTTCTTCTGGTGGCAAATCACCACTTCTTGAAGCGATACGACCGCCTTGTGGTCCCTCTTTTTTGCCATTAGTTGGCACGACTTCAATAGGTTTGTCATCTATTGTTGCCTTAGCACAAGAGACACTCTTTGTCACCGCTTTATCGCATCCGAGAAACTTTTTGATGGGTTTGAAAATGCATTCTTGAGTTCCGGCGTCCGATTGCATGAGAAATGAGCAAAACTTATTGCCGACAAACAAATACAACTGAGTCTTTTGTCCCGTTTTTAAAGTGAGTGCCGCGTCCACAGACTTAACATTAGTTGAAACGCCAAACTTCTTGAGTTCTGTACCTAAGTTGGAGACGATAGGCGTGTCGTATTCAATGCCAAACTCGAAATATTTCAGGTCTTGTCTAGGCAGCCGCTTCTGATTAAACCAGGCGCTCAGTCACTACAGCATTATCCGCCGGCTTTACGCGCTAGGAACCTAGTGGAAAACTCGAAGCCCACTTAACCTCCGGTAAAAGTGGACCTCTCCTTTGTGTGGCAAATACTTAAGAGAACCCCATTCGACGACATATGGATTCAGATTCTTGAACGTAAAGAACTGTTTCTCTTGTAAGTAAACGGCGGCCCCAATGAACTCAACAATGGACGGGTGGTCTATGATAGTGACGGCCGCCTCCACCGGTCCCTCCATCTCAGCAAATGCAGAGCCCACAGGACACGGACCCAACAGCTCTTTCACCGGATCACCGAATTTGTTGACAAACCAGACATTGTTTTTGTCAAATATAACGAGCGTTTGGTTGTGTAAAGTAGTGATCGCGTCGATCGTTATCTTTTCGCACTTCTCATCGCTTCTGCAGTCTTTCAATTGAATCAAAATTATTATGAATACGAAAATTGCATTTAAAATGGCTTTCATTGCGAATCAAATTGAATGCAAACTTTAATTCATCAGAAATTTTGTTTAAATCAAAACTAGACTCAAATTGAATCAAAAAGTAGTGAATTCTGTCATTCAAAATGAATGCTCGCGTGAAATGTTTAATCGTTTTAATTGTTACTTAATATTCACTTTACTGTTGACATTGATATACAGACCAAACAACTGGTGGTCACTGTTTGGCAATATTTTTAAATTATAAAAATATTCAATTAATTATGTAATGAATTAGTTTTTAACTGACAAATGAAAACAACGATAAATAAATGGCTCTAAAAAGTTGACCCAAAAAACTATTTCTTCTTTTGATGAGAAAATTTTCTCTTTGGGTACTCAAAACTGTAGAGTAGCCAGAGACTCCAGACAGGCGACAGGAGGAGTAGCGGCGGAGAAAAGGAGAAGAAGAAGAGGAAAGCAAACAGAGAAACCATAAGAAACTCAGAGAGAACTTCTTCCTTCAGTTCCCGAACCCTGTCTTCGATATCAAACTCTTTGCGCTGTTCCTCGAGTTTCCTCTTATTCATAGCGAACCGTTTGCGGACGTCTTCGAGTGTGGATCTGTTGACCTTCATATTCATGCCGAGATTCCTCTGATGTTTTTTGCCATTAATGTGATCCAAATAATTGATGGAATCCTTGACAACACAGTCACAGACATCACAATAGAAACCTCCGGTCTGTGAAGTGGGCGTCGATTTGTTGATCACAACAGTCTTCCCTAATCTCGACTCTAAGTCCACTCTATAGTCCCGTGGCTTCAGATTCTCGCGTTTCTTCACTTCCTTCGGCTCTTCGCCGCTCTTCTCCTCAATGTCTTCATTGTCTGACGGGTTGTTGTCGTCATCGGAACCGTTGTCCGCATCCTCTTCTCCCCCTTTGATGCGTTGTCGCGCTTTCTTCTCGTACTCTTCTGTATCCCATTTTCGTCGAAAATCATTAGTCGAAGACATCGTTGGATCCGATGGTCCGCACAATTGTCTCAAACAATCACAACAAATATATTTGATTTACTTTACGTTAAGAAACCAATGGTTTTGTCACTCAATGGACGCAACGCTCAACAGATGGAGACAACAGTTGAGACAAACACTCATTTGATTTCAATTAAAACTTTTATTGAACTAAATTTAGACATAAAATACACATTCATTTGCAATCAATTGAATGGCATATTATTGTTGTTAAACATGTCTTGAGTTGGTTTGAGGTGTGTTTGAGAGTAGAACTGATTAAACCAACGCCGGAACCGAACCAATGATCTCTCCTTTTTGGTTAAAATGGGATTTTTGATGAACTTCTTGTTGTTCCAGATTATGATATCTCTTTCAATCTGTTTTTGATACATAATTAGACCATTAATTTCATAAATCAATTGTTATTTCACTTTAAATTCAAACCATTCGTATGAGAGGCATTTCTTCTTTAAATCGGTTTTCAAACGGGGTTTCTCACCGGAGCCTCATCTAGACTACCTGTTAGGCTAATGCTAACCCACGGTTTCCTCACTAGCTAACATACTTACGTGGGCTTTAACCTCCAAAATCCACTGTTTTATATTGTAATACAACGAAAGCGGCGCCGATTTGGCGGATTGTAAACTCAATCTCCAGTAAAGTATACCCAAAAAGTTTGTTTTTCACATTTAGTGACATTTGAGAAATGTGTGGACTCGTGGCCGACGGCCACCACTTGGATTCCCACTCGTGTTTCAATACTTTGCACAATAGGTCGTAAAAAGTGCTTTTATTTAACACATTTCCCGACATCACAGCCGGTGTATGGAGTTCTTGGATGTGTTGTCCGTCGGCACCATTTTCTGGGATTTCCTGTTTAAAAAATAATGTATTCATTCAATTGAGATAACAATAAACATTATTAACGTGTTATTAACCTGAAAATGACAGTTAACTATATGTTCAGTCCTTCCCTCATATCTCCACACATTTCTTTCAATCTCTTGTATTTCAATCGGATCCCAATGAGGAGAGGAAGAGTCCGAATGATACCAAACAAATATTGTTTTATTCAATTCAATCGTTTGCCATACTTTGATCCGAGCCGTAGGTATTTCACACTCTGTATACAAAAGTTTTGATTTGATTGTTACAACTTATTTAAAAGATCGACAATTAATTAATTGAAAGCACTTTTCAATCGCAACATTAAATCATTAATTAAATACTTTTAAAACAAAAGTTTTATTATAATAATAATAAAATATATAAAAGTTTCCCTTGGTTGACAAGTTAACTCCATAAAAATGCGTTTCTGGTAGACAATGAGCCTTTCAGGTCGGTACTTTACCTGTAGATTATGTAAGAAGCGGCGTAAGAAACTGTCGGTAAGGAGGCTGCGGTATATTTGCCCCCAAATGAGGACAATAGGCGTCTAAGACAGACACTCGACCCGATTGGCTCCTATAGGCCACCAATTCTTGTCCAAAAACGGTAAATGTCTTCATTTCAAATTGAGAATATAAGGACCTGAGTTCTTGACCCTAGGTTCTCAACCCTATTACACCTCCTTCTAGACACAGGACACAGAGTGAAACCGAGTGAAAACATACTGAATTCAGGACAGTTTTATCTGTAATCAATCACTCGTTACCTAATTATTGGTCTCAAGTCTTACCACAACTCTGTCATTAAAAGTCAATACAATTAATGAACAATAAGTTAACAAAACAAATGTTATAACTATTATATATATCCATAAATCAATTGAAATTAAATAATGACCGAAATTATATAATTGCAAACAATCAATGAAATCAAATGAACTCATTTTCTCAGAAATCAATTTTTCAAATATATTTTGCAAAATAATGATTGAAAAAACGTTTTTTCTTTTAACTTATGTCAAGATTTTAAGACAAAAAATGTTTTTAAATGAAAGAGAAAATAGTTTAAAAGTGAACTGAACTTAACCTTCAAATTCAAACTCAAATCCATTCATCGCTTGGATTTGACTCAAAGTTTCGCATCTCTTTTCGTTCAATTACTTTTTGCACAATTGTTAGAGACAGCAAAGAGTTGCAATTTTGTTGCTTTGGGCACAGAATAAGCAAATTATTTTATTAGAGATATTATGTTGTATTTAATAAAGCATTAAATCATGCAATTAATCAAACATTACTTACCCTAAAAACCCACAGATAAGCCCACCCGCGTATAAGCCGGATCATAAAATTTTAAAAGTAAAATGTTCCCACAGATAAGCCGGTACCTATGTATAAGCCGAATTTAATATAATATTAATTTTGAAACTTAATTTTTGAGACATACTGGTTTACGTTTTTAAGTCTTCTTAGAAATTGACTAGTTATCTAATTATGTGTCTGTTGAAAATGTGATTTTAAATGTGATATAATTAGAGATGTTAGAAGTGAAATTTTGGAAAAGTTTAGGGGTCTCACTGAACATTAAGGCTAAATTTTCAATCACTCTATATTAGCGACATTTAATATTGCATATTATATTGCACATATTTACTATATAAATTACTAATTTGTGTAATTTAATCTAAATTTAATCTTATTATGTAAAATTAATTTATTTAAATACTAATTACAATACCTTATTTATCGTATCAGTATATTATTAGTTTGTAGAATCAAAATTTTGAATTTACATGTTTTAAGTAAAATATTCATAGAATTGACAGCTTTGATGGCTTTGATTAAATGAATACCATTATTTTGTAATTAAACAATTTTAATAATTATGATTATTTGAATTAAAAATTAAAATTGTTTTTAATTAAAATATTTTATGAATAAATATATTCATAAATAAGCCGAACCCACAGATAAGCCGATTTTCGAATTTTTCATAAAATGCACTTTTTTCATCAGATAAGCCGCGGCGTATCTGTGGGTTTATAGGGTATATATAAATGTTTTTTGTGACCAATGCATCAAAATTGAAACACTTTGCTGTCTCTAACAATTATTTCTGAATCTCACAATTGGTTTCTTATTTATTCTGATTTAACTATTCGTATGAATATTTAATTAACAAATTATTAGCAGGTTTTTAGATAACCATACGTAATTTAGATTATATCTCAACATATTTTTATTAAGTCTGTTGTTAAATCGATTATTTTATTAAATTTGTTAATAACTACAGCTGCAATATTTAATTGTTTAATAAAACAATAATCAAAACAAATATTATAATTATAATCACAGTTTAAAATAAACAATTTTATTTTAGAACTACAAAACAATTTGCGAAAATGTTTTTCGACATTTTGTAGTAAATAAAAGGGGGATATATTAGGGTTGACGGTATAGACCCCGCGGGGAGATATCAATTCGTGTTCTGACTTTTAAAAATAAGTAATCTTTCTAATTTACTGTAAAACTCTATAATATAAATACATTGCTATTTAAAAGTTTTAGTTTTGGGAACATTTATTAACATTCATAATAATCACAATAAAGAAGAGGCAAATATTTTGCGACGACATCTAAAACCGGTGACTCGTTCTTAAAAATACTGTACTTACAAATTGAAAGAAATTTGTTTTATAAAATTAAACTAGATTAAATAAGAAGTCAATTAATATGGTCCAAATGCACTCCGACTTTCTATTTAACCGCAATTGTTACTGGTACTTTGGGCGGTACTCGGGTTGTAGTGGTGTTGGTAATGATTTTGGTAGTAGAGTAGGAAAATGGTCAAATAACTTATTTTAATAAAATTGTCAGAAAATTCGCTGATTTCGACAAATTTAAGGAAATCTATTAATTCCATAAAATTGATACAGTATTACAATAATCTAGTTTTACGTTAAATTCTACATTGATTTCATGTATCATATGTTAGAATTGGATGGGTTTATATTGTGGTCACTGCGGCCGAACCCGAGTTGGCTCAGTTATATGGACTATACCAAAGTTTTCTTATTTAACATGGTTTCACATGGCATTACCAAATCTTAACTATCAGCTTGGGCAGATTTGCCCATTGTACTTGATTTTTAAATGCAATTTACTAACATTCAATAATTTATATTATAAACTAAATATACCGTATTATCCCATACATAACGCGCGCGTTATCTATTGGTAAAGAGTAGAGGATATGCCGGTTATAAACGGGGTTCGCGTTATCTAAAGATAATTTTTACTTAAAAATACTGTTAAATTGTTTATTTCGCGTATTTATTACAATCAAATTGGAATTAATTTTTGAGTCAAAGCAAGCGGTGAGGGGAACGGGAATGGAAGCCGGGAATGAAAGCCGGGAATAGACTTAATTTTCTAATATTAGTTCAAATTAAAGAACGAATAATAAAGAATATATTGAAATGTTATATAATATATAGAATTGTATTGTTTTGGGAGATTTTGGTTGCGATGACTACAACTTCCATGTATTCATTCATTATATATTGTATACCTCAATAAAGTTGTGCCAACAATAAACACAAATTGTACACTAATTTGCATAAATACCTAAAAAGTGTATTTGTTACGGAAATAAAAGTTTGTCTAAGTCAGTATTCTTCTGAGGAAACGCATTTAGTTTCGGTAACAGAAGTGAGGTATCTCTTAACTTAGTTAGTAAACTAATGTTGAGATTATTACTTTATTAAAAACTTGATTTAAATCAACGATCGATTTATTTTGACACTAAAAGTGGAGAATGGGTTCAAACAAACGGACCGAACGGAGAGATGACTGAAACGACTCAAGAGTTGCACACAATTAATGATGTTTTAGTTGAGGAAAACCGACTCTTGAAACTCAAAGTTGAGATATTAATGCAAATGGTTTGACAAATATTGCTGTAATAACTGTTTGTTTCATTAGTTAACGTCTTTGTTCTTCAGGTGACGGAAGCGACGGCTGAACT